ACAAATTTTTATTAAATATATAGAATGTTGAATTTGTATTCAACAGTTTCAATGTCGTATCCTTGAGATTGTACATATACATATACATCAGACTCTTGTTATTTCAAACCTGCGTTATTTCGAACCTTTCATTAATTCAAAGTTATCACTCAGTAATTCGAACTAAAAATCATTGCTAAGACGCGGTAATTCGTACTCATATGGTTAAACACCCGACAATTCGAAATATTTTAAGAGTCCCTTTTATTTCGAAATAACGAGAGTCGACTGTACATATATTAGTTCTGAATAATTTTTATACCCTGAACCCATTTTCAATGGGAAATCAGGGTATAATGGTTTTGTTATATGTAACAGGCAGAAGCAGGCGTGGCAGACCCTACAAAGTGTATATATTCTTGATCAGGGCGACGAGCTGAGTCGATTTAGCTCTCTCCGTCTGTCCGTATGTTTGAACGCGTCGATCTCAGAAGATATAAGAGTTAGAGACTTGACACGCGCATATCGAGTTTTGTTTTAATTATCGATAACTTGCCCCGTTATTTTTTATCGATTAAAAACATAATCGAAAACCAGTAGTAAATTTATATCTCCTTCATCTTTAAAGCTAGTCTCCAAATTTTGTATGTATACTTCAGGTTTTGCCAAAATTTACCCCCCACCTCTAATTCACCCCCTCAGCATTGTAAAAGGCGTATTTCAAATACTACAGACTTGTGCCTTGGCAAGTACATGCATATCTATGTTATATTCATAATATAAAAGTTTCATCAAGATAGTCCATCCACAAGAAAAGTTATTTAACAATTAAATTCCCATAGTAAGCGCACACTGCAGCCAATGCGTGTTTAGACGTGGGTGCGTGTGTGTATTCGCGTGTGTGTGTGTCTTGTGTAAGTAGAAAGACACGAAAAATGATTGAAATAGCTATTGCTCGAAGGATTCAGGGGATCTCGTAGTCGAGCCGTCTCGACTAGAGCTTTCTTACTTGTTATATTTCAATTACAGAGTGCGGTTTACATTTGAAGTTTGATATATTTCAACAATTTTGAGCGATATATCTATATCTTTATTAGGAGAATCCGTTTAGAAGTGTCTTTTCTAGTTAAGCTCAAAAAATTGAGGGCTGATAGTTTAATATGTTCTATATAATATGATTTTTTTTGTCGATTTGTCAATTGATTTAGAAATATTGATCCTGCCTTCATTTAAATCATAGTTAAGCATATTTTAGTCCAAAATTTAACCATGTTGCAAGCTTGAAGGGTATAAGTGCAGCATATAGTATTTCCATTATTTGCCCTTGCCCCAAAAACGAGTCCGACACAGGCAAGGACATACAGCTTTGACCTTGACACAGTCTCTATCGCGCCTCTTCAGACGCAACTACGTAGAACCTTGTAATGAATTTATAACACCGAGGAAAACAGCAGCGACAGCAGCAGCAACTACAACTATGCACTACCCACAACAATGTGATGCCCCAATTTGCGTTGTCGGTGACCTCGTTAGCTATTTCTAAAGTGCAGCGAAAACAGCAACAAGCGGTTGACTTTGACCCATTTAAATCCTCTGAGGTAAGCAATAGACGCAGCAGACCGATTATCGAACAGCTCAGTCAGCGTCGTCAGTTGTCGACGGCGGCTTCGCAAACATTACAATAATCTGTGTCAATGTCAGCCGGCGTTGCAGTGGGCGGCGAAACGGTGTAAAACCAACTGAGGCAGAACATAAAACTAGAGAGCGCAAAGTATGTATAGACCAATAAAGACAAAGAGAGAGAACGTATATAGTAAACACAAGCCACACACACACACAGAACATGTGGCAGCCAATCGAAATGCAATTTCACTGCATGTGTTCTTATAGTGTGTGTATGTGTGTGTTCGCATCCTTGTGCCCAATCTCTAAATTATTTTACAAAACAGAACAAAAGACAAATGTACGCCACTCGAGAATCAGCTTGAGATACCCTATACTTTATACATCTAAATCTTAATATAGCGAAATGTAACACTTCTTCGCTATTTTTTTATTCAGACTTTTATTTTGATATAAGCTTGAATGAGCCTCTTACACACTGAATAAAGTGCAGGGTATTTGAATAAGCTTGTGCTTGACCATAATTCTAAAGCATAGCGACCTTGTTCCATGTTGACCACTATTCTGAGGACTGCAACGACACCCCTGCGGTGAGTTTTCCAATAGAAAATCTGCGCCTGTGTGTGTATGTATATATATA